AATTCTTCCAATCAATTCAACTCCGAATAGTCTTCAAATGTCACTGCCTTAATTCAAACACCTGTCTTCAAGCAGTTTTTTTTCAACAATGAATCCAGCCGGCTGAGACAATGCAGAATACGTAAGGCACATTCATTTGCACTGGCAATTCCAGAGAAGGAACAAAGCGAAGTAGGTGAAGTATGAAGGAGACTAGAGTATGACAGCACTGAATTGGATCGATGACAGTGGTGATGAAATCGAATCCATCAAACGTTATCTGCTTCATGTATTGTAAGCATTGGCTCTCATGAGACAGGGAAACAAATTGACTAAAGCAACAAAATGTATTTCCTTTTTTCAGCAGAACAATAGCGAACGAAAAGAGTTGGTCATCAATACTTGCACTTATATGTCTTTATGTTCTCACGATGTCGACTTTTTTCCGAAATGAAGCAATGCAGTCTATTATGAAATTCGACGAATTCCGCTGCGATACATCTCAACAATTGATCGTCGTCATAGCATGCTAAATAAAACTCCAAAATAATGGCTAAGACTTTAACTTTCACAGTAGAAAACCAGAAGATTTCAGACGATTCACCAACCTTTTGCGCCGCAAAATTGTCGTTCTCAAAGCCAATTGAAGCTCGAGTTGTCTCTTCAGATTGCACATTCGGTACCACTTGCGGCGCTTGAGGATTCATCGTGAAAGCTGAATCGGCGGGCAATGCTCCCGAATGATCGCTGATTGGCACAAATGCTCTCTGAATTACGATTGCTCACATGAACAAAACTCGGTTCCTTCATTAGATGATCATTTGCTCCCGTCCCCGTCCCCTAGTTTCGTTCCTGCGATGATATGCTAACATCTACGAAAGAAAACATGAGAGTTGAGATATTCAAACCAGAATGACCTAGTCATAAGAATGCGATTTTTATAGTAAAGTACAAATTGGACAGCGAAACATTTGCATTGTACAGCTAGTTTTGCGAGGAAGCGCATCGTTGGAAAGACGAGAATTGAAGTAAATTTTGCAATTCATGAGATGTATTACTTCTGAATCGTCAATGAGTAGAATCCATTAATAAAACATAACGGTATCAGTTAGTGTAATAATGCAAATTAGATATTCCGAATCAAGCCAGTATGGTAACGAGATGAAAATTCGAATACTGATATTCTTGCAAGCACTGCGAACATTAAAACAATGCTGAACTCATTTTCGGGCGACTCTCGGATGAATTCGAATGCAGCAAGCATGTGTAAAGAGATTTGTTTCGTTTGTTTGCTTGTGAATACATGAAATCATTCGAGACGTTGTCATGCAAAAATGTAATTGCATTGCGTTGAAGCTTGCTCGTTTCGACGCAATCAATAGTCTTAACAAACTGAAAAAGCCTCACTGCAGACTTCAGCCAACTCGGCACACTCAAATTGTTCTCTTCGATCATAATGCGCCTCATACTGAATGATGTGAGCGGAATTTTGAATAATCATCTAGTTTTTGCAGAGCACATGAACGCCTAACAATAGCTACACATATCATAAATCCACTCCTTCAACTAAATTTCCAGATTCGAGGGCGATGGGACTGATTGTGAGTAAAAATCAGAGGAAATATTCTCCGAGTTTCATAGGGTTAACATATAAAAAGAACGAAATTCTCCACATTTGTGATACTAGACAGAAACGAAATTTTGCAAATGTGATCCCAACGTTTTATTTTTATCTCTCTCACACTCAGAAAAGATAGCCATTTCCATTGATGATTCTGTATTGCAAGACGTCAAAATTTAGAAAGTGAGGACACTTAGCACTAAGTTTGAAGATGCCCAGCTCTATCTATACTCAAATGACGGACGGGAATATGCAGAAACGCAACATTACATTACTCTGAATAATGTTGAAAAGTACACGAAGCCATTGCATTTCAGAAGATTAATTACTAAACGGCAACAAGAAATATCGCCGAAATGTTTGCTTTCGTAGACTACGGCACCGTATTCCCTTCAGTTCCACCAACAAGAAATAAGCACCTTTGAAGAGCAGCAGAATTTTGGAACAGAAATTTGATTTTCTATTTCTCTTCCGCTGCATCTAGATTAGGCCGTATGATTGAGTTGAAGAGATGCAATGCGAATTTTCGCTCTTCAACAATCCCCCTTAATTATGAAGACTGAGTGAGAAAAGTTTGAAAATTCGATGCAAATTAGGTTGATTAATTTTTTTCCACTTTTTTTTCCTAATTTTTTTCCAACATATTTCCAACGAGCAGATTGGAAAATTGTTTTTCCAACAAATTTTTGCAATATTCCCGTTGTCATTGATGAATGAAATAGCATTCGATATCCAAGGCTTGCAATTTATTGGGGTCTTTGAAGGGGTGAATATCCAATTGAGGTAGCTGAACGCATCGAAATTCCTTTCGCATACCTGCATTTCACCATCAATGGAGTCAATCTTCGCTTGGTCCATTGTGGTTCCTTGAAGTTTTGACTCTGAAAGAATATGTAATTAACATAGCAGTAATATGACGATGCATCATGGCAGTTTTAAGGACGCAAAAAGCGATAATCCTTTGGAGAGATATAAAAATATGCGAGATATTATCGGAGATGAGACTGGAACACAGCAATAATATGTAAAAGAATGGTGGGGGCGAAAATGAATACTGCATGAGGAATTGATAAAATTCTCCTTAAAAGCATCTCAAGTTAATGGATTTACGGATGAGAGCAACTACATGAGAGCAAACATGTAAGCATATCAGCATATATATGAGCATGAACACATCACTATGGGTTCCGTAGAGGGGAAAGATCGATGCAGAATATGCAGAAGCGATGGTGGTTTGTTTGTTCCAGTGAATCGACGAATCAACTGAATGCCGGCCGAAGTTTTTAACCAATCAAGCTTAGGTGAATGTGTAGGTGCTTGTCTCGAGTCAATTTCATTAGATATTTTTCATCCTCAACAGCCTAATTAATCCAAAGTTTCCAAAACTATTCTTCAGCGCCTTCGTTTCGAGTGCACTCAGTTAGAGACGCTGTTTTGTAAGAAGAAGACGTTAATCACTGAAACTGTATCAATCTACCGTCATATTAATCGTTAGGTTTCTTCGTCATTATTTTATTGATCGTTCAATTTTTCAAAAGCTTTGCTTAATTGTTGAAGAACTAGATGCTCAACTATGGCTGGAAAACCTTTCGCTGCAACGGTGAATCCAAGCTTATCAATGAGCTTTCAGGCAGTTGATCAGAAATGATATGTTAGAAGAAGCACAAAATATTCTCTGAAACAGTTCCAAATGTCTTCCAATGTGGGATCTGATCTGCGCAAAAAGTTTGCTGTGGAAGAGTCGAATCGAATCAAATCGTTCTGCAGTTTCACAACGCAAACGCTTCGAGAGACTTCTGCTTTCAACTAGCTTAGTGGAAAGCAAAGAAAAGCTAGTTGGTAGAAGACTGAAGAGACTTGAGCATATATCCCTGCAAGAGCAAAAAGAACGCAAACGGAACGGAACTTATGGGAAAATTCCAATGATGATCATATGGAATCGTTTACTAATTGAGACAGTCATTGTTTGAAAAATTCTAGAGAATGGCTGCGCTTGTCGAGAAGCAAACAGGAAAGGAAATGAATCGAGAAGATACGACGAAATAGTTGTGTTGGGAGTAGCAATGAGCACACATATATCAGCAGCAATTATTCGCTCATTCGATTTAAGGGTTTAGAAACGCCTTTAAGCTTATAAATCATTGGAACGCTTCTATGAAGCAGTAAGCACTAACTCGCTTCACAACATTACTGATGTGAGTAGTTTCGTATTCATGCAGCCTAAAAATAAACATCAAATATTCATCCACTCTCACCAGTCTGCGGAATGTATTAGGCCACGATCAATATCCAAGCGCGATTCCGATTGTTATTCTGCATTCATTGTGCAAAGAGATGCGAGTGAAAACTTACAATGCCATTGAATATTTCGTTGCAACTTAGACAACAAATCAAATGGAAGATTCAGTTACTTGACAATGCTCGCTCGACTGTCCGCAGGAAAATGATGTATAAGCTAATCACAATATGAGTTAGAACTAATAGTAAGAGAGTGAAAAAACGAGTTTTTTAAGTTAGGAAATCAGATGTTGTTAGCAGAATTGCTTTGGAATTTTCATTTCTAGTGAGTTTTCATTTGCTCCGTAATCATATTGTGTTTTTCAAATTTGTTCGCTAACAGTAAGTCTGCTGGTGATCAAACTGCGCTTTCAAAATCAGTTAGATGCAAGAAACACTAACGTAATTTCCAACTTCCGAAAAGCGCAGTAATCGCTAGGTAAGAAGAATGAATGCGAGTAAAATGAAACATCTGAAGAATATCTGATAGCTGCATTGATCACTGCGATCTATTAAATTTCATGTTCGTAAAACTCCTGACTACTGAGCCTGATCGCAGATGAAAAATACAATTTCAAATCATCAAATCCAGAACAAATGATAAATTTATGAGATACTTGTTGAAGATAATAGCAACACTTCGAATGTTTTTTCAAAACCGAATGAACACTTCCTAAAATGAGAAATCGATCGTTTGAGGAAGATTGATTTGTCAAATTTCGATGGTGTTCAATTCTCATAAATCAAGAAAAAATATGTTGAGTAACGAAAGATATGTCATGGAAGCTTTATGCAGTCGAATACTGTCAGATGGGAAATGAGCACTTAATTATGAAGCCATCAAATAAATGGAGAGAGCATATCATAATGTGGCAACGCATTTCGACACGATGTGCTCAGATCAAGTGTTCCAGTGATGAAACAAAACAATTTGCTGTCAAAAATTTTCATTTTCATCGAAAATTTGCAATCTAGTCTACATTCACGATCAGATGCAGATGTATTACGCTTGGGGCATTCAACGTTTACGATTGCTTATCGCAATTGTGCATTCATCTAACATCCGTAATAAAGTGCAGTTTAGCAATTGAATGCTTTTTCGTACGATTATTGGATTGAAGAGAAAGATGACTCTGAACGAGTAGATATGAATGATGTTTAATATGTTGTTTTTGACTGATTCCAAGCATTTATTAATGCAGTTGCAATTCGACTGAGAAGAAAAAGCTGTTCTTATTAACAGATAAGACGAACAGGATGGTCATTAGGAAGAAGCGCATAAAATGGGAAATTTTATATTCTATTATATGTACGGAGAGATGCTTGAAATCCTCCAAAGTGACTGTTTTCGCCGTCTTTTGAAGCGCTCGTAAGACTGCGAGACTTACTGTCCTCTTCGAAATTCTCCCATTCCGTTGATGACCAACGATGAATGACGGGTTTCGGTGGTGCCATTTTCTTGTATCGAGGATCCTCCTCCAATATATCACCATCGTAATCATACATAGGGCTTGCTCGACCCGACAGAGACTGACTACGAGCCTGAATTTAGTTCAGCCAAATAATAAAGATCAG